AACACAACACACACACACACATTTCCACCTTTGTTGTCCATAGCACTGTGCCAAACCACTGTTTTGTACGCTCAAATAGTGTTTGATTCGTGTCTTTTATTCTGGGTTAACGTGTGGCTGCTGGGATCGCCCCTTCGTATAGTACATTGGTTGAGCCGAGTGGGGAGTGTCGCGGGCCTATTAAATCGTTTAGGGTCGAACTACCAGGGATGCACGTGAACGAAGCGGGCAGTACAAGTGTAACGTATCTTCTACCAATTACTGTATAATGTCAGGCCCTCATAGTGCACCGCGCGGTCTGTGCATGCATTTTTGATAAAAAACATATTTACCGTAGATGCTTCTGATACACACAAACACACGCAAAGAGGTCAAGTGTTCTCCATTAGGCCTCCGAAAGCCTCAGTATGGTCGGAATTGAGTGTCTCGGGTTGCAGCTAGTCACCCATCGCTTGCACCTCAAATAGCTTCTGCTGAGGAAGCCCTACTCACAGACTTCTCATGGCGGAGGTGTTTTTTCATCAAAAGGAGAAGACGGAAAGCCAATATCCGGGTCGGGGAACCACTGGCAGTTCACCTAGGGGAAATGGTTAAAAATCTTAATCCCGAACCACTCATGAAGAAACGCATGAACCACACTCATCCATAGCTTCCTGGTTGTTGTAGTGGTCATCGGCTCGATTGGGCATCAAGGTGTATTGAGCACCTTGGACGTTTGACCTTGTCCAAAAGGCGTATGGTCCGATGAACTGGACAGCGGCCCCCAATGGATTGCGGTTTTTATAGACCGCTCCGCTGCTTTGCAGGTCGTGCTTTGACTAATCAAAGGCTCCGGTTATGAACTCCCTAAGATAATTCACCTACTAGAATTATCGTTTATTCCAGCAAATAATGAACCATCTATCTTTTTTATAAAGATTGTTGTACCCTGACTTGTTCTGCACCCGGTCTGAACTCAGACGCCAAAAAATAAGGTCAACCCTGAACCGCACATTCCCAGCTGCTCAACCCTGTTCGTCACACATTANACTAACAGTACGTCAATAGACCAAAATATCAGTCTCGATCTGTACCCGGTAATTGATCGACCCGCAGTTGGTTAATCGGCCAGATGCGTTAGCTGAACGGACCAAGTGTACTCTCGAATAGTGAGCAACCGACGTTGGATTTTATATGACCTGGTCAACGCGTCTGTATCACAGAACATGTATGGGCTGGGTTGTGGCCTTCTGTATTCATCAATCGGTAACGATTGTTTAAACTTACGGGAACAATCATGCGGTGACTCAATTTGAACCTTGTGCCCGTAATGTGCGAAAAATTCGGATCAGTTGTGCGATGAGCTTTTCGATATCTGACGCGATCTGTACCGTCCGAAAGGTACAAACAGCATCGAATGTGATGGCGATTTTAACAAATATCATGCTAGTAATGATGCAGTCAGCTCTTTTGCATCCCAAACGAANAAAAAAAGACGCACAAATAATTTGGGGTTGGAAATGAAGACATTCAAATAATTCAGGGTTAGCTATCGGTTCGCATTTGCCAACTTGAAACATCTGTGGTGCCGTCGCGACATCCGGCTATCTGTGAATTGTTGAGTTTATACTGCAGCAGTTCGACCAGTGCTGCACGACGGTGCAGAGACTTGGGCACTACGGGAACAGAATAAAAATAGGTTGACGGTGTTTGAACACCACTATCTACTTCGCATTGCACGAATTTGGTGGGGTAACAGGACGAGCAATGCCACTGGAGCAAGTGATCGACCTGCATAGATTACGTTGGTTGGGACATGTATAACGCATGCCACCAGATAGGTTGCCGCGGCGAGTGATGTTTTCCGAGGCAGGTAGCGATTGATAAAGATCAAGGGTGGTCAAACTAAGACCTGATATGAGGGTATGAAAATCCTAACCAGGAGACTAGGTCAGATAGACCCCGTTAGGCTCCCTGGCTGGGGACCTCGGGATGATGGTCACCGATGGTTAGAGACACTGAGTGATACGGCTGGGTGTCGCAAACAGTAACGCTCGTGAATCTACTCCTTATTCTTGTAACATCAGTCTATAGGAATTCTCTATCTTCCACTTGAATTTGCTCTCAACCTTCTAATCTTCATTCTACCGTTTTATCCAAATGGGTAACCTAAAGATAGCGCACGAAAGTGCATGGTTAGTGGTTGTATGGACTGAACTGAACTGACCTTTCAGTTTTGGTTGTAGAATCCTGTGCGATAGGTGCATAGCAGTATTATTAGTGAATTCAGACGGAAATTAAAGGAAATATAATTAGCACATATGATGTAATTATCACATGGACAATTTGGTATGAGTGTAATATATAGTACCAAATCGATCAAAGTGTCTTGATCTCCAGACAACTGCCCCAGTTAAAGCGGAACGGTCATTTTACACACTTTCGAACGTAGCCGTTTCTTTGTTGCAGGTGTTGCCCACTGAAACCGATCGATTCATTCGATAGGGAGGGCACTGGGGGTTATGAGTCATGACTTCCAAGATTACTAAGCTCATCACATGATGCTACAACGCGATTCCCGAAATAAAGTAACGCATTGGTTATGGTTGTTGTGATAACCTCTAGCCCATTAGAGCCATCCCATTTCGGCAATACCCTAGTAACCACAACCAATAGCGCCTCGTCTGTAGCTCAACGTAGCAACAGTATTCAGAAAAATCAATGGATTTCTAGGCTCCTCGTCTTTGTATGAATAATCCCATGCACGTTTGTGTCGGGCGTGCGCACGAAATGACTCAAAGTTTCAATAACATCTTGGACAGCTGGAACAATTGGTATCTTGCTGTTCCGGCTGCACGAGACCAGCTGCAACGTAAATTGGGATCAACGACAAAGTGAAATGTCAGGAAACGAGTATAAGTTAATCAACCGGTATATTGGGAACGGGGACAGAAGCTGGTACCTTGGCACCTTTTGGCAACGAATCTGTCTGGTGTATGCTACCAAAAACCATTCAGAGTACGACGGGTTGACAGTCAGACAAGCAGAGGCGCCAGAGGCCGTTTATCGAACTGAACTGTGGTCGAGGATTCTATCGCAGCGGATACTTACAATCGGTTTAAAAACAAGTTATGGAAGAAAACAACGTAAGGAAAGCGCCTTCGGGCAAATAAACAGAAAGTATTGTAGGTTCGTTGATAAATATAATCATTTGGAAACGGAGGGGACCGAATTAATTTGATAGAATGAGATGTAAACTGAAAAAGCCCACAAATGTTGCTTATCCGTTATCAGAGATCGGTGGTGGCAATGCAATGATTTAGTGGTTGTCATCGACGTGCTTTGGACTCCATGATCAGAGATTCGAGCCTCGTCACCGCCAACTAACTTTGGTGGAAGGTAGCTCTGCTGTCGTCCGGTTCAATGCCATTCCAAGTCCTGCGGGGCTTGGGTTACCAGTACGGATGCTAACAGAGAACACACATTTTGTGTTTTTCCCGATTTGGCAAATGCAACAATAATCAATAATTTTGGAACATATGGAGTAATGAATCGCATTAGGCCTTAACAAGATGAACTTTATATGGCAAAGAGATTGTCAACAGCGAAGCTATCTTCTATAAGAGATGCGTGACTGTGTTAGGGTTCAAACCACAATCCCTGAAAGTTGATGCACATCAGTGAAAGTAGCCTAAACCACTCGTCGATTATGACGGTCATATAGGCGCAAGAGAAAGATTTTGCGTACAGTCAAACCAAAGTAAAGGTAAAAGTCATTGACCTGTATACATATTGTTGTAATCACTACTTACCCGCAGCTTCCAGTTGTTCCAACTCCGTATCATTTTTTCGGGGACCACTCTGAGCGATGGTCACATTCAACTTGCCACTCTTTTCGAGCAACTGTTCGAAGATATTACGACCCTCGGTCACCGCACTCGCATTGTACTTTGGCTCGGCGAGCAGACTCCAATAGAATGAGGCGATTGAAACGGATTCGGTGGCTTGGGAGAGGAGTAAATTCCATGAGAAATAAGTTGATGCGTGTCGTGGTGCATCCATTGAATAGGTTAAGTTTTCTGGCATGCTTTCCACGAGAATCACTTGACAATGCGGAGTCCGAGTCAGGCGGTTCACTTCATCCTGAGACCAAGGCAGTGTGGCCTCTGAACGGCCAGTAGTTACCGGTCGAGGGGCAGCGTGAAGATAGGCATCACACAGTTGAAGGGTGGCGACGAACAAACCAAAAAGTGGGAAAAGAAACCTGTGGACAAGGGGTAGAAACGCAGGTAACAAATAAAAGAGAGCATTTTATATGCAAAAGGACTGTTTATTTATATTTGAGAAACATTTCTCATGAAATAAACACATTCATTTTTCTGTATCAAACATACTCCTATCTTGTACTTCAAAAAATAACAATCTAGCCGCTTGAGTTCATTTGCAAGGCTCATCCTCGAAAATTTAGATCAATGGATGACTTATCGTTATAAATCACCTTTTATTTGAGAGAGCTGTTCAAGCTCACTCGGGGAAGAGGTGACTTCAACTGTTCGCTGGCATTGAATCTAGTTCTGGAGAACGGTTCCGGTGTGGCTACCGAGAGGGTTGGGCAAACTCCTGTGTACTGACGATGCCCGAATCTCACTCAGTCGGTTATTAAGATGGACGTGTTTTGCGCACGATTATGTAACAGACAGGCAGCGAGAGAGAGAGGTAAAAAGAGTAAATGGTGACCCCATAACAACAATGAATGCACGTTGAGGACTCACCAACATCATTCGTAACCCACCTGGTTCTCTAAGTTTGGCGTATCCAATCATCATTATTATCATCAGTGTACAGCGTACGACAGTGAGGCGAACTTCAATGATCGCTGCCAAACTCGCAATAAATACAAGGTTAGTGGTAATAAGGTGGACAGGGATTGGACCTATTT